GGAAAATCCAGAACATGTTCTTGAGCTTCAACTTCAAATTCAAAGGCTCCAAATGCATGATTTTGACTCAAACTTCATGTATATGTGTACTAACATGGTACAAACACTAGATTACAACATTTTGAAGCTCAACTTCATAAATCAAGCCCATACATGGCTCATTCTCCACCAAATTCATTATTAACATAGCAACTTCATGCATTCAAAGCTTCTACTCCCATAGATTGTACATGCATGTGACATATAACCCTCATTCTCATCCCATATGATGAAAAGATGGTCAAACACATGGATTTCAACCAATATTCAACCTGAGTCATGTAATTCAAGCCCAAATATGCAAATTCAAGACAACTACACACATGCATGCATACATTGACCTTCAATTCAACAAAACTAACCCAATTTCATGTCAAACTTACTTTTGATTACCCAATTAGCTTGAACACACAAAATTACAAACTAGAATCCATGAGATACTCACCTAGGAGCTTAATTCTCCCAATCTACAGCAAAATCTTGGGTTTAATCTTCCAATTCTCCATAAACTTGAGCCAAACACAACTTTTCTCCTCTTACCCTCTAGCCGACCCACTCTCTACTCTTAGAGTCAAAAATCAGCCAAGATGCAACAAAATAGGGGAATTAAGGTGTGGTGCCCCTTTTACAACAATTCCCACTAACTTAATTTAATAATAATAAATAATTGAGCACTAATTCAATAATTTAATCAACTTAATTTGGTCCGAATCAGTTTTCAATTAAATTTCACTGTAGGCTCTAAAAATCACGCTAATCACAATGGCGTAATCAATTCCGGGTTCTGTGGCTGATAAGGCCTTCAATTTAATTTTCAAAGTAGATAGTCAAACAGATATTCCTACGGTAAATAGATAGAAATTCAAAACCACATATTTTCACATAATGGCACCCAAAATCATATTAAACACATAATCATATTTAGGTTAAGGACCAATTAACATATTACAGGACAGGGGTATCACACCACATTTTTTATAGCCCTTAGGACTTGGGCGCCACTGATTGATCACTCGATGATGAAAGTTATGCTGTGCAAATGTTCGACTTCTTCAGCAAGAAGAGCTTTTAAGTCCCAACCTTACACCCTATTTTGACCAAAACTATTTTAGACCTTAAAATCCTCTTTTTTCAAAATATTTTTGCAAATGTTTCTATGTTGTTCCGAAGCTCGCATTTCGTTTAAAATATTGCACTTTTTGGTAAACAGAGTAAGAACAAAGTGGAAATAAATGGAAGCGAGGTGAAATCTTTGAAAAATCTTTAAAAACATCTTACTTATAAGTTTGGAGTTTAGGGAAATAGGAGGGAATGGAAGAAAACTAGTTGAGGAGGAAGTTAGGCATCAATCCGTTAGGACAAAAATGAGTAGCCTTCACTAAAATAGATATATCTCTTTTCACACTTAGAATTTATATGTAAGACCACCACCATTGAAAAGTAAACATTCGGGGCTTCAATTTAGACTCAAGAATGACCTAAAATCGAGTTCGAATGAAGGAGATATGCCCATTTGAAAGGGCCTGGAAGCAAATTTTTGTGGCTGGCCAATTGTGCAAAATTTGGCCACTTTAGTCGCTTTAGTAAAAGATTTCAAAATATGTTTTGCGTGGTCCTATGAAGACATGCTTGGAATTGATATTGAGATTGTACAACATAGGATCACTCTCGGCCTCAAGACTTAACCCCTTTGCTTTCACGCTTTGATTCAGAATGATCAACGGCCAACCATAATATGAGGCTTGCATGGATGAATTGGAAGCAGCTCTTAAACTAGGGGCAAGAAGGTCAGATGTGATCAAAAGAAGCTTGCATAGCTAGATGAGAAGTAGCCCTTGAACTAGGGGCAAAAAAGGTCAGATATGCTTGAAGATTCCAAACTGGGTCATTTCTCAAGAGGATGACAAGCGCCCAGTCCATGACAAGTGGCATTAGAGCCAGCCTAGAGGCACTGTGATGGGGATGCTACGTGCGACTTACACGAAGCACCTTCATTGTGGGGTTCACACCAAGGGTGGTGTCTACGTGGGGTGGGTTTCCCAAGGGTAGGGGAATTGACAAGCATGGAGGCAAACAGGGAAATGTCCCGCTAACGAGGGCTTTAGGAATTGGCAGTGGTAGCATGTCACGTATGTGAGTTTTACACCAAGCACTTTGCAAGCGCATTAGTTTGTGATTGATAAGGCAGGCAAGGTAGATCCCTACTACATCACCTGGGTTAGTCCTTGGGCATAATGTGTGGGGGTACGCAATATCCCTTATGGAGCTGGCTTCTTAAGAGGATGACAAGCATCCAATCCATGACAGTCAGCATCGTTAGAGGTTCTAGGAAGTGGAAATTTATATGAAGTTGAGAGTCGTAAAATTATGTTAATTTGTGCACATCACTACATCTGTTTAGTGTTTCTGTAACGGCCTACTACTTGTTGGCCTAAGTAACTTGTGGGTCGACCAACAATACCCAAAAGCTTAAGTCCAAGTTATTTAGTAGCAAGGTAGTGGTGCTTTATATGCCCAAGATCACCCATGCAAAATTCCGATGTGGGACAGGGTGTTACAAACTCCCCCACTTATAAATCCTTGAGTCCTCGCGAGGGTCTATAATCAATCAGAATACCACGACAAGCTCGTGGTCAGCCCAGAATAAGTGGCCTACATGGTTGTGTGCATGGGTTGGCTCTGATACCATTTGTAATGCCCTACTACTTGCTGGCCCAAATAACTTGTGGGTCGACCAACAATACCCAAAAGCTTAAGTCCAAGTTATTTAGTAGCAAGGTAGTGGTGCTTTATATGCCCAAGATCACCCATGCAAAGTTTCAATGTGGGACAGGGTGTTATAGTTTCTCTTTGTTATGCCTACATGTCTAGTTTTTATCTATCTTGTCTATTTTTTTTCATTTTTTTTTTCTGGAGCTCTTTACTTTTGTATATGTTGTGAAAGATTGGAGTGTTTAATAAACCCTAAACTTACATTTCACATTTTCTCTGATTCTAAATAGATGATTGCGGTGCAAATATTAATAATGGTGCATACCAAAAAAAAAAAAAAAGAGAAGATTACCTAAAGATTTGTGACGATATTTGACAATGTCATACTCAATTTATGGTTTTGTTTATACTTTGAGATGCCTATTGACAATGTTATATATTTTTTCAGGGCCACAAACTCATAGTGACCTGAGTCTGTTGAAGCTCCTGTAAGAATATCCATAAAGTGGCCCATGTGCCACATGTTTGTTTTATTTATTTATTTATATTATATATATTTAATTGGTTTAATGACTATTTAATTAGTTTAATGACTAATGGGTAACTAATGTCTGTTCACTATCCCATATGGTGTTTTCATGGGACTTTACAACTTCCCTGATGGTGCGAAGTTATAAGGAGTTACACTTTGATATGGGTCCAAGCCTATCTATATATATGCATGTGATAGCCATCAAACATAGATGTTGTTTTGTGAATAGAATAGACTTGAAACTCTATCCCTTTCACTTTTCCCATATGGTTCTGTAAAAGTGTTCTGTGAGTGGGTTTTTTATACATTCAAGATTTGATCATTCAAGGATAAAGATTCAAAGGTTTGAACATCATGGCAAGAGGTATTCTTCTTTCTGAATTAAAATTATTTTAATTCTCACAATTGGTATCAGAGCCAACTTTCTATTATGTTGTTTAGTATTTGTTTCATTTACATAAAATCAAACTTCCGCATCTTACAGTGTAGAACGTTTTATTCAACAATTTACTGAATGTTTTGATTCGTACAGTCGTATACTTAATCTAATTCACACCATAAAATTTAACAATTTAGAATCAAAATGAGTAATTTATATTGCATAACTTTTGAATATCACTATTAAAGAAAAAGGAAGCACTGTTGCAATAGTAGAGTCCATTGTGATTTGTACTAGTGGTATTTACATTTATTTAGAATTTTCTCCTACTCTGAATATATTTTATTTAGGAGACTTGTTGTGTGTCATTAACTATTATTTTTGATACACACATTAAAGAGCAAAATATTTAATCTAATTCTGTATAAAATCTAGAAATTCTCAAACTTTTATTTGGATTTATTTGGTTTATTTTAAAAAGGCATGAAAGATTTGAATTTATTTCTAGAATTTTCATAAAGAAATTTTAACATGCTGTTAAGGATGTTTTGTTTATTATCGTTGCATGTTCAAATAGTAAGCAAATTCAATTAAATCTCATACAGTGAATTATAACATGTTCTTTTAGTTTTTATAATTTTTGAGATTCATTGGCATGCTATCTAAAATAATGTAATATTATATTACATGCATTAAAGTAATTATTTATGCATTGAAAATTCATGTGAAATAAGAGTATGAATACACTATGTGTTGGGCTTATGGAATTTATTTTGGTCCAATTTTTAAGCAAATTCTAGTATAAGGTTGAATTACATGTGTTTGGTCTTGGGATTTTTCATGTGATATTACTCTGATTGTATGTATTATACATTACGTGCATTGAAAGATTATGTATTTGTTGCGACTATAAGGATTTGCTCACATTAATTAATTATGCCATATTTAAAAATTGTATTCTGTTTTAAGAATAGTCACAACATCTTAAGACATAAAGATGTGATCCTCCGTATTTTGATCACATAAAGTAAAAATTAATTTGGCATTTTTACATTGCAATTATGTTTTATAAATAATTTTTTGGTCCCACAAGAAAGTAATTATTTATTAAATTTAATTGGAATAAGATAATGGATTGGGTATTAAAGGGATTGAACACTCTAAACCCACAGGTATGAGTTTTCTTTTCCTTACATATTTCGGAACCCATTAGTCTTATTACAAAGTAATAGCAAATCTATTACAGTTTAGTGACCTCTACCCACAGAAAGGTTAGATTTGTTACTGAATTTGACATTGGTTAATTCAGACTATAGCTATTGTTTCAAAGCATTAATAATGTTCTTGGTAATTGTAGCGATTTCTACCTCTGTACTATCTAATGAGTCTTCTCGTATTCCATTCTTGAACGGTGATAATTTTTCAGACTGGAGGGACAAAATCCTTCTAACATTAGGGTGCATGGACGTTGATCTGGCACTCCGTGTGGATGAACCTCCTGAACCCACGGACGAGAGTTCTGCTGGAGAAAAGAGTGCTTATGATAAGTGAGAGCGATCCAATCGCTTAAGCCTAATGCTCATAAAGTCATATATTAGCCAGAGCATTAGGGGCTCAATCCCACCATCTGATAAGGTCAAGAACTACATGAGGGCTATTGAAGAGCAATTTGTTAGTTCTGACAAAGCATTGGCAAGTACCCTAATGAACAAACTATCAGGAATGAAGCATAATAATTCTAGGAGTGTGCGTGAGCACATTATGGAAATGAGGAGCATTGCAGCTCGTCTTAAGTCCTTAGAGATTGAGATTTCTGAGTCATTCCTTGTCAATTTCATACTCAATTCCCTTCCTATGGAATATGGAGCATTCCAAATTTCCTACAACACTTAAAAGGAAAAATGGTCTATCAATGAACTTTTGACCATGTATGTTCAAAAGGAAAAGAGATTGAAGCATGGAAAAGTGGAAAGTGCTCATTTAGCAACACATAAAGGAGGGCAATGGAAAAAAGGCAAAGGTGATCAGAAATGGAAGAAGCTTGGTAAAGTGCCGTTTAAAAATCATGGCAATAAGGGTGCATGCTTCTTCTGCAAGAAAAAGGGTCACATAAAGAAAGACTGCCCCAAGTATAAGAAAAGCCTTGAGAAGAAAGGTAATCTCATATCTCTTGTGTGTTATGAATCTAATTTTGTTAATACTCATCAATATGATTGGTGGATTGATTCGGGTTTTACAATTAACATTGTTAATACCATGCAGGGCTTCCTCAGCCTAAGGAAACCGACGAGAAGTGAACAAGGCATCTATTCAGGCAATGGGATGTGTTCGCACGTCAAAACTGTTGGAACTTTCCGACTTCTTTTAAAAAATGGCTTTGTTTTGGATCTTAAAAACGCATTTTACATTCCATCTTTTTCAAAAAACTTAATTTCTATTTCTAGACTAGTACTGTTTGGATTTGAATTTCAGTTTGTTGGTGCAAATTTTAGTTTGTTTAAAGACTCTGTTTCTGTAGGATTTGGTACTTTAATTAATGGTTTGCACAAAATAAATCTGGATTTTGTTTTTGAACAAAATCTTTTAACCTTGCATGGTGATATTGGCATTAAGCGCAATATTGTTGATGAGTCCTCCTCTATTCTTTGGCATAGGAGATTGGGACATATCTCCATTGAGAGAATAAAGAGGTTGGCTAATGATGAAGTCCTTCCGACTCTTGATTTTACCAACTTTGGTATTTGTGTGGACTGCATAAAGGGAAAGTAGACCAACAAGACTAGTAAAGGTGCCAAAAGGAGTGAGGAAATTCTTGGAATCATACACACTGATATATGTGGACCATTTACTCCACCTTGTCTGAATGGTTAGAGATATTTTATCTCATTTATTGATGACTTCACACGATACATGTATCTCTACCTCTTGTTTGATAAGGCCGAGGTACTTGATGCCTTTAAAGTTTATAAAGCAGAGGTAGAGACACAAACAGAAAAGAAAATTAAAATTGTGAGATCAGACAAGGGTGGGGAATATTATGGGAGGTACACAGAATTGGGACAATTAACAGGTCCATTTGCTAAGTTTCTTAAGGAAGAAGGCATTATTGCACCACAACAAAATGGTATTTGTAACAACCCTCATACTGTTTACCGACTGATGACTGATTGATTACCGTTAAACTGAATTGATTTTGACCGATAATTGAACTGATTATAAGTACTGAACTGGCCGACTGAAATTGAAAAAAACGAATTGACTGAGTACATGTTAGTTAATTGCATTTTATCTGTTGATTGTATGGCTATCTGTTCATGCTTATATGTTTAAACTGCTAATTGAAGGCCTTATCGACGGTCGAATCCGAAACCGATTAGTGTTCTATGATCCTTAGAATTAAGGTGATTTTATAGTATAATTATCTGAAAATTGATTAGGTATGATTAAATTAGATTAAAATAAGCGAATTAAAGAGTTGGACTTAATTACCGTTTTGCCCTTGAGTGGGCCACTACCTCTATACCTTGAGCTCATTATACTTGAGCCAAGAACATTTCATCAGCCATTCCTCATTGTGCCTAGCCGACCTTAGAGAGAGAGAGACTTGAGGAGTTGATTTCATCTCAATTTTGCTTGTAAAATTGCTTGGTAATTGAAGAAATTGTTGAAGTGATTGCATATTTGAGCTCCCTTCTTGAACTACAAGACTAAAGGTAACTCCATTGTCTTCTTGTCCATGTTTTGAGTTGATTGTTGCATGATCCATGTTAGATTGTAGAGCTAAGTCATGATTTGGGTCATTAATGGTGAATTGAAGCTTAAGTGTTGCATGCATGTTTGTAATGTAGATGTTTGAGTTGTTTTCATGGCAAAGGTTACATGCATGTCCATAATTTTGTAATGGTCCATGTTTTCAACTTGTTTTTGGATCAATTGGCACCTTAGAGCATCAAATTGAAGCTTGAATTGATTTGAATTCATGCATGTTTGCATGCTCTCCATGTTCACGAAAATGGTTTGAAATTGAGTTTGAATTAAACACCCTTGGGCTTTGATTTCTCAAATTGGAGCTTTGAACCATTTACTCCATGTGTTTATAAGAGTTTTCCAGAAAATGAGCCCAAGAGGATCGGTTTTGATGCATTTAAACTTGAGTTTGAGCTTGGAGGTGCAATCTGGGTTTTCCAGATTTCGCACTTCCGCTCGAGCGGGGAAAGTTACGCTCGAGCGTGGAATCCGAGCAACCAGCAT